CTGTTACCCAAACAAATTATAGAAGCTGATTTCCTAAGCAAAAGCTTAGCAGGTTACTGCTAAGCAAGGAGATACAGGGATGCTGATTCCCCTCCCTATTCCACTTCCCTGAGGTTTTCTTTCATAGATCTGCAGTGCAGAAGTGAATCTCTCCTCAGATAAAACAGAGAAGCTTTTGTTGAGCTAGGTGGTTTGTTTCCTAGTTCAGCCACAGGCAAAGCTCATCCAGAGAATAACGTGTTGCATATAAATTTTCAGACACCTACTCGTGAACAGCAACCTGAAAAATGTTTTGAATATGCAGGTAGGACAATGTAAAAACCTATACAATTATTTTACAAATACATTTAAAAAAAAAAAGGAGCCTAATCATTGTTGCTCAGTGGTTACACTGCTTTCAGCTAAGATTGGTTTCCGAGTATTTTCAAACTGATTTACATAGCATTGTTATGTAAGGCCTTCACTCATCAAAGTTTGTGCATGCTTTATTTGAAGCCCTTGCATATGCCACCAATTCAGTGGGATCATACAAGTCAGTAAGTGCTTTTCTGGGTTGTGGCCAAATTCTCTAATTTACAGGAATTTTCAGGTGCTTATTTAGGTCATAAGACATCTGAAATATTTTATTTTAATAGTTCTTCAGGAAAAGAAAAAACTAATGCAAAACTTTGGTTTCACTAATCACCAAGAAAGGTGTGTCCCACTATCACATGAAATTGCAGCTACACATTAGAAACCATTCTAGGCAGAAGAGAACCATATATTGTATGAGTCACTTTGCTGGGAATGTAGATTGTATTGAATTGGATCATTTATGCATTGTCAAACTTTACTATGTGTTTCAGAATTAATATTCACCATCTCTTAACATTTTGTTTGATCTTAAAGGTGGCTTGCACATTATATACAAATAACTTGCTGTATGAACTTCCTGAAGAATTTATTTTATACTGTAATTTAGTGTCAAAGACTTTGATACAACAGGAATATATTTGAATTGTTTTACGAGCACAATGTAATCACTGTAGGGTCTACTTATTTTCCCTTTTATTGAATAATATTTAGTTTCTTTTCTAAATCTTCTCTACCTTTACAAAAGACGTAACACTTATTAATGTCACTCCTGGGGCAAACTGTTGTAATTTAATTCCAAACCCCGATCTGTGTTCTGTGAGCTAAGGTGTTTTACCCATGCCATCTATTTGTCTATTCAAAAATGCCTGTATGTGTACATGCCTTAATTTTGCTTGTAAAAACATCTAGATATTGGAGTAATTCTTCAATATAGCACATGAACTACACACCTATGGTGCGTTATGGGGGAGTATATTGTTTGAGTTCTTACATGCCAAGTAGGTATCTCCTGCATGTTGCATCACTGCCAGAGCAGTTGTCCTTTGTGGCAAACACCTCTTGGCCTTTTGGAGCAGACTGTTCTCTAGTTAGATATGTGCTGTACCCACAATTTAATGGTAAATGTGTGGGAGAAACCAGTGATTTCAGTACTAAGTTGTCATGGCAAGAACCTGTACTATCCAAAAGGTAGACCTGCAGTCGTGTCTCAATCTTAGCAGGTAGATCTGAAAGAAGTAGAGGCAGCAGGATTTAGTACCATTTGTACAACCTCCCTTATTGAGACCACAGAGCAGCAAGCCACTACCTCCAGTGACCCTTGCTGGAGAGTCAACACATCTGCAGTGCTCTTATGCAAGATAAACAGCAGTTTTCAGAACTGATGGAGCCATGACTATGGATACTAAAACACACGTTTTCTTTAAAGGTGGTTACAACAGTGTGTGCTCTACTGTGGCGTAACTTAACCATCTCTGTATGTACTTAATTTGTGCAGCTGCAGGCACCCAAACCAACAAACACACCACTGATTACATGTGTGTGCAAGTGGTCACTAGGTTGTAGCCACTGCTTAGTCACGGCCAGCAGCACAAGCAGCTGGTATGCTGTGTATGATGCTGCTGCTGCAGACAGATTGGTTTACCAGCTCTTTTTCCTCCCAGTCCTTAAGTTTATCAAATCAGAAATCATTATGAGGCCAAAACCATACAGATGGAGAAGATAATTTCAAGATACTTCTGCTGTTTGTTACTGTAAAACTGCTGTTAGCTAGCTCATGGGGATTCTCCTCTGGCTCCTTAGCCTTCACAGGATTTTGAGAACCTGCCTTTTTGTCTTGCAAAGATGGGAACTTGTTCCCTACAGGAGTATGTTTTCTAGATTCTCAGTGAATCTTGTATCTTTTGGTCCTACTTATGGGGTGTTTTCATTGTGATGGAAGATATGGGGCACAGATAAAAGTCAGTACTTGAACCGTTAAAAATTAGACTAATTGTCAAAGATTGGACACCTTTACCAAAATCTTCCTTGATCCAGTAACAATGTGTGACCAGTTCTGTTAATTCAAAAGCTATTAAATGAGAAATCCTATTGTTCACGACAGTCATCTCTGCCATACATGGACTATATGTTATTCCTCCCCAAACTGTATTTCTTTCAAGGCACATCAAGTATCTCATCTGAATACTTCCTTTTCTTGTAACATACAAATTACAGCTAAGCAGTTTCTTTGCACCTGCTTTTCTCAGCAGGAAATGCAGGCTACCTGTTCTGTTCCTCTCACCCAAGGGGAAACGTTCACACTTCCCTCCATCCTCACCCCATGGCAACTTGGCTCAAGCGTTTGGAGAATTTGTGCAGTTCAGTAGAATTTCATTATCCCTCATGGGCAGCTCCACCTGCACACTGTCTTCTGTGGGACTACCCAGTGTGGTCAAGGGACACAGGTACATTGCTGGGGTGCAAGGATCTGTTGAAGCTGCCAGTACTATGTTTGACATAATGTCATAAACAATGTTCCCTGACATAAAAAGTTGTATTATATCAGTTACCACAAAATGGCCCTGTTTATGAAGAACAGCCTCACTGTTTCATTGCTATAGATGAACTTGTATCAGAAGGTTAAGAAAAAACCCTTTATTTGTCTTTAAAATACTGTATTTTTCAGTGTTAGACAAAATGAAAGAGTTTTGAAATCTTTTTTAAAAAGCTTGTTTCCTTTCTGATTATTGTTTCTACAGCAAATGATAGTGATGTCTCAGTTAAAGTTTAGACATTTAAAATGCTGCAGATGACTAGTGAAAGAAATCTCTACATACAACTTCGCACTGGTATGTCATTGTAATAAATACAGGCTAAAAAATGGTTGGTGTTTCAAAAAACTGGCAAACATAATCCACATGGTCACTTTGTGAAAAAGTCTCCTTTTTCCTTCTCTTCCACTTTGATTTTCCCTTTTTGGGTACCACATGTCTTTTTCCATCAAGTGGTAAGACAAAAAAAAAAAGAAGGACAGACCTCAAAATGAAAGCCAGTTCTTTGTGCACCTAAACCAAGCGCTGTTTGCAAGAGGTCAGTGCCTGGTTCTAACTTAAATAATCCAAAGCAGGTCACCTGCATGAGTCTTCCAGACTTTCAACGTAGTAACTCAGAAGGTTATTAATACAATTTTTAGTTAATGAGAGAACCTCAGAAAAAGAATTGCAGGAAGCTGCGAACTGCAGTATCTCTTTACTGAAGACAGAATGCCACATGGCAAGAACAGATGGACAATCCTTCTGTGAATATCATTGACCACTGGTTGATAGAAAAAGCTGCTGCAACACTGAGGGCTGTATATAAAGTACAGATACGTGACACTTCCCCTCAGACATTTCCCCTTTTACTACTCAGTGGTAGTAAAAGGTTATATATGCTAACAGATTATAAAGAAAAGGGGATGCTTTAGGGTGATGCTGAAGGAAATAACTATTCCATTTTCCTTTGCTTCCTGAAGTGGAGCATATGCCAAGGTTCTGAACCAAATCCATCTCTCAGAAGGAAGAAGTAATATATATTCTACATACATACTACATATTTTAAATAAACTGAACACAGAAAAATACCTCCTTGTATTGCCTTTGACTACTGTACCAGAAGTGAAAAATAAGGATTATTTCTGTTACTAATCTACAGATACTGTTACCAGAATGAAATGTGGAATGTTTGTGCTAAAAGTTTGGCATTTGCGTATATTTACACCAGAGTTTGCACTTGCAAACCATAAGGTAGCAAATTGGAACAAGAGTGGGATAAGAATGGCTTGCTGGAATTTCAAATTTTATAAAACCACCAGAACTAAAGGCATTTCTTGCACACAATGGTTACACCTCTGTTGACTTTAGTTCTGCCAGTGCATGCTAAGTGAGAACCTGGCTTTTATAACTCACTTGGAGACTAGCTACATATGAAACTGAGTACATAACAAGGAATCTTGGGGTTTGGTTATGAAAAGAAGAGATGGAATAGTGAATATTCATGGCACAGTATACCTGCATGGTGAAGAATGTATATATATGTAAACCATAAAATGACTGAACTGGAGAACAGAGTAAATTAATGATGGAGCTATGGTTCAAAAAAAAAAAATAAAATCAAGATACATTTTTCTGTACCTTTAAATTACAGCAATGCACCAGTGTTTAAAAACAAGAATCAGCGATCTGGGAGCTTTTTGCAGAGCAGACACCAAGTCTAAGATGGTGAAATTCTCTAAGAGTAATTCTCTAACTGGTTTTGCTCTTTCAGATTTGACATGTAGACCACCAAGGCTGGTGTTTGTCCTCCATATGCACAATGCTTCTCCAAAATTATGAGGTGTCATATGTTGTTCTGCCTGCTGATAGAAGGAAAAGAAGAAACAGATTTTGCCACTTTAGGGGAGAAGCGCAAACCTCATGAAGTTACTTCTAATACTACTACAGATTACTCCTAAAACACTGCTCATGCTTGTGGCCTGGTTTCTGAGGTACATTCCTTAAGTGCTGTGATTTTTTTAAATCATAGGAATATACACAAATATGCTAATTGTTCTGGATTCTTCACAGATTTTCTTTTGAGTACAATAAAGACACCCATCCTTAGACAAATCAGTTCATTCCCAATACGTATTATTCCTTCTTCACCCTGATAACACATCTGAAATCTAAATTTTGATGTGATAGGGACATGTCTGGGTCCTGGTTCCAGCTGTAACAGTTATTTTTCTTCCTAGTAGCTGGTGCAGTGCTTTGTTTTGGCTTTAGTCTGAGAATGATGCTGGTAACACACCAATGTTTTAGTGCACCATCATCATATGCTGGGCTTGGGGAAATCCGCTGTTTCTGCGCTGATGTCTCCACTGCATTATCTGTCTGCAGCTCCTTGTCCAGTTTTACTGGAGTGGAAGTATTAAAATGCTGCAGTTGCTCTTCCTTGGCGTTCTTGAGAGGCCACTCTGGCATCTGGGAGCAGGAGAATGCTGGGCTGGGGACACACTCACACCACTTCTGTTCATCAACTGTGGGAGGTGCCCAGCTGGAGCTGTGGGAGCTGGCAATGGCATTGGCCTTGGAGCCAGGGATCCTAGCAGTGTACGTTTTGTTGAGGGAGCTCATGGAAAAGGTGCATGACCTCTTGTTTGAGCACTCATCTGAGCACTGCAGGACAAGGTCCCTCTTCAGAGCATTTGGTATGAGAGAGGCAGGGGCACGTTTGGCTTCTCGTAGCTCAACTGCTAACTCCTCACTTCCACCTTCTCTTCCTTTCTTATCATTCCCCAGAACCTGGTCGTCCTCCTTCTGCAAAGGCTTCTTTCTGCTCCTCTTTCTGTGTTCAGCACAGTCCCTTTCACACAAGGGTCTGGGCTGCTGTTGGCCAGGAAGGCCTTGGGTGAGATCTGCCGTGCCAGAGCTGTGGAGTGGGAAGGCCTGGTGATCTTAATGGTGACACGGCTGTGGAGTGGGTTGTTGGGTTCAGAGTGAGCCTCATGGCATGTAGCTGTCCCAATGGATGGGGAGACAGACTGGCATGGCACACATCTTCCCTCTGAAATAGCTTAGTCTTTCACTGACTACAGAATGTGCTTCTTAACCGCCTCTGAGTCAGCCTGTTAGTTGGAGTTCTGATAAGCTTGTAGTGTTTGCTCACCAGATGGACTAAGCTCTTCAAAGTAGAGGAAAAGATATTGCTTATTAACATTGCTCTCAACTTCACCTATTTCTTTGTATGAAGTTTGGTAACTTGATGCAGTTTTAGACTATTTCTACACTGCAAGGGGGAGGAAATGTATTTTCATAACAGGTAAACCTAGCAAAGTGTATCAGTAAAATTTTTACTGGAACGGAGGATTGTTCTTTTTTTACATCATTCTAAGTAAGTCAGATTGATACCCACTGCCTCTCAAACACACCCAGGCTGAAATTACATACCTGTGCAGAGGTAAAAAATATTTCAGCCAATCATCTGTTAGGATTTTAGAGCAAATTAGCCATGTCACACTAGTTACCTAGCATCTCTTTGACAGTTTAGTTCAATAATAATACTGTCTATTAACAATCAAATCTGTTTTTTCTCTTGCATACTTTGTGCTAGATACTAATTGACTCATGTAATGTGGGCAACATAAGGAATTTTTAGTGGTAACTCTCTCAAATGTCCTCTGTGTAACCAGATTAAATATTTTCTGATGCTACAAAGCTCACTTGAGTTGCTGTTATTCATGAATGTGATAGTCAGTAAAGTTTATGTTTTTAACTTTTTTGTAATTTCTGATTTTAGTTTGTTCTTAGGATTTGAACAGTTCAGTTTTCATTTTTTGTGATTTTTTTCCCCATCTTCAAATTCTCAAGCTCAGCCTTGTCCTTTTTACTTTGCAGTTTGAATCAGCACAGAAAAAAAACAATTAGTTAAATTATCCTCCTTCTTACTTCTATTTGGCAGTTTTCTGTAGCAACAGAAGAAGGATGTTTTGAGCAGTTTGCAGTCATTGGTCGTAGCACAGTTTTAAAAATGAATACCATACCTACTGCACTCTCCAGATTTTACATAATCTCTATAAATACAAGGAAAGGAGGATGTTGTCAGAGAGGAAGCCTGCTCCTCTCCCAGCTCTGCTTTTTCTCTCACTGCAGAAGTGTCTCATGCAGAGGCTCCCACCCATACATAGGGCTGACTTTACACTGAAGACGCAGATTTTTATGGCCTATAAATTATTGTGGTTTGGATACAAATTTTCACTCCAGACATGCTTTCAGTAGGACACACAGGAGACTAAGTATGCACTGCTATTCCTCACTGCCTTATCAGTCACAGTAATTATACAGAGATTAGGAAAATCCTCAGACATTTTCCAGTATAAAAATTCCCTCTTGAATATGTGTAGGAAATTTTCCAATAGGTCATAAAAATTCTAAGGAACATGGATCACAATTTAATCATAATTTCTGCTGTGCCCCTTTTATAGACAGCAGTGTTGTCCTGTGCTGAAACATTGCCCATCTTGGATGTTACTTTCAGGGCTTTTTGCCAGTTTTAGGGTGTCCGTTCATATGTGTCTCCCATTTCACAATGAGGGTCACAGGATCAGTCAGGCCCTGAGGTCTGTAGCTTTTCAGAGCTCTTGGTGATTTGGCCTGTTCAAAGTCCATTTTTTTCTGGCTCCTTTAGCACCTCCTGCTCTCTAAAAGCCCAGGGGCAGGCTACATGGGACAACCACATGCTAAGACCACAACTTCCTTTTGAAGGGGAAGGCACTTACTATTTGTCAGCAGATCTTCTGGGGTGTATTTATAATGCCCCATTACTTGATGTTTTAGAATAAAAACTAGCAGTCAACTTCCCAAGCCTCCTCTATAAACCTAAATACTTGCACAATGCTTCTTGCCACTACCTGCAGCATACTTCATCTCCTTCTGTAACACTGCCACAAAAGATAAATCCTCTGAAATTTTATTTGTAGCCTCACTGGCTCATGAGGAACATTCCCTTAATAAAGGATGCCTCCAAATCTTGCTACTTCTTTCATTGTTTTCCAGATCAGAAACTAAACCACTTCCAATGCAAACAAAATCCTGGTCTGTGCAAATCCTACTTGGCTATCATTTAGAAAAGCAGCTGTTCTTATCAGAAGATACTATTTTTTACCTTTGTATTTGCTTTGTAAAGTGGAATTAGGCTTACACAAAGAGGCACCGTGCAGGAAGATTAAAAAACCCAACTCCCTACTTTATTACTATCATCAGATAATGAGATCTTTCAGATTAGAAAGCCAATGCTAGTATGGGAGAAAAAGGCCACTGAAGCCATCCATTATGTACACTTTTGAGACAGTGGGCATTTAATTACAGTCATGTTGCACCTCTGCCTGGTACCCGCAAACCTCACAGGGCTGTGGAGATTGCACCTTGCTCTTTGCTTTCCCTCCAGTGAGGCCAAATGCTGCCAATGCTTTGGCTTCAGGAAAAAAGTCTGTCTTGGGGCATTTGGACCAGTTTTGTGCATGAAATGGTTTGTGGCAGCGTATACATGGAGGCTGCTGTTCAGATGGCAGAAACAGGGTCTGTCAAGGCAGACCGATGCTTCAGGCAACCAAACTGCTCCACCAAGGCAGGACCCACATGGGCCCAGGCCTCTCAGAGTGTTATGCTTGGGTCTTGCTTTAAAGGGGTTGGAGTTAACAGCCAGTCAGAAGTAAAAGCTGCTCAGCCGCTACCGGGCAAGGAAATGAATGTGTGCAGCAGTGATGGCAAACTGTGGACGTTCGGTGATTTATCGATAGATTTTCCTTTCGCGAAGGAGCGCGAGCCTCGCCGCCGTTCTGCTGCGGCCATTTTTAATGCTCCCAGCCGAAACGGCCGCGGGTCAGCTCGGCGCGAACGTGCTCCAAGCCGGTTAGCACAGCAGGTAAATACAGCAGGGTACGGCCCGGGCACCCGCGGCCCCGGGGGCAGGCGGGAACCGGGTGCGAGCCGGCGGCTTTCCCGCCCGCCAGGTGCCGCCGCCCGCCTCGCGCCCGCCGCCTCACGCGCGGTTCCCTCAGAAGATGGCAGTCGCCGCGCGCCCCGGCGCTGGCCGCCCCCTCCCCTCCCGCGCTTTCCCGCCCGCCATGAGGCGCGCAGCCGTCCCGCCCCGCTCCGCCCCGCCACGGACCCTTCCCTTCACAGAGGATCGGGGCTCGCTCGCTCGCCCGCCGGCAGCGGCAAGAGCAGCCCCCGCTGCCGCTCCTCCTCCGTCTCCAGCCCACCCTCCACCTCCTTCCTCTTCCTCCGCCAACCCCACCCCTCGCCCCGGGCTGGCCCGGCCGCGGGCTGCCGTGCCGCCCGGGCTCCCTGCCGGCTTCCTCCATCCCCACGCGCCGCGCACACCTCCTCCGCCTGCCCCACCTCCGCCCTCCTCCTGCTGACGTCTGGCTCTGCCCGGCTGAAAACTCCGTGCCGCGGCGGATGCGGCGGCTCTCGGGAGCGCGGCGGCGGCAGCAGCAGCAGCAGCGAAGATGGTGGCCGCTCCGTGCGCCCGGCGGCTGGCGCGGCGCTCCCGCTCGGCGCTGGTTGCGGCGCTCACCGTGCTGCTCCTGCAGACCCTCCTTGTCTGGAATTTCACCTCTCTCGATGCCGGCGAGGAGCAGCGCGGCGGTGCCGCTGGCCGCGAGAAGCGAGACCACGGCGGAGACCAGCGGGTGCACCCGCAGCGCCGCGGACCCGGCGCCCAGTACGGCAAGGCGATGGTAGGAGCGGGCGGGGGCGCTGAGGGAGGTGGTCGGCTCCGCACCGGTCTCACGGCATTTCTCCGAGCTTGTGCGGAGGGGGCTGCCCGGGTGGCGCGGGGAAGTTGGGGCGAAGCGAGACGCGGTCGCCCGGGGTCGCGTCCCCCGCTCCCTGTAGGCGCTAGCGCCGCCGCGCAGGTGCCGTTGTGCGGGTCTGGTCCCGCCGTGCGGGCTGCCACCCGCGGCCGGGGTCTTGCCGCACGTCCAGCGGCCAGGGGCTGCGGATCCCGTCCTGCCCGGCGCTCCTCCGGCACTGCCCGCGGCCGGCGCTCCAGCATCTCCGAACTTCGCTGCCCGATACCTTTCTAAGGGTTTATTTTACTGCTACTTTGTTTCTTCCACATGGAAACCGCACAGGCGCTATTCTTTATTGCACAGCTCTCTCAGGCCCAGTAGGTGACAGGCAATGAAATCTAATGCAAGCAGTTTATTAACCGCTAAAAACTCAAGGATACTGAAACTGCCGCCTTGCCCCATCTCTTACCATTTCCTTTTGCACACTCTTCAGTTTTCATTTAATTGACTCAGGCCTGGAACCGCAGCGGGGTTGCAGAGCTGGCCCTATTGCCAGTTGCATTTTTGCATTTTCTAATAGGCATGTGAAAAAGCAAATGAACAGGTTCTTGGTCAGTTAACGCAAACCTCCGAAATGAGCGTTTATGTGTACGGCATGTAGTATTTTTCAGCTCAAGAGAAGCTTCCTTTGGTTTACATGTAATTCTTTTATCAGTAGGCTTACGTTAACTGTTGCCTCTTAAAGTATACATGCATATTTTTGCCTGGTTCTGTATTTCTGTTTACATCTTGAGAGAGAAAGCAAGAGCTTGGGGCTCAGAGGTGTCTTGCTTTCATAAATGACTGTGTGGGTGCTTCAGCCACGGAAAGGCTGTAGAGGACCCTGCCCCGAGCACACGAGTGCTCCATCAGTGACATTTGGGACAACTTTTCTGAAAGGTAGTACATACCCATCCAGTGTGTGCAGGTCTTGTTGTGCTTTCTAGATGTGAAAATTAACATTTCTGCTTACTGAGTTCAGTTTTTGTCTCTACATGTAACCCTATCTTGGTACTTGCTGTGTTCATAAATGTAACTGCTCAGAGTCCACTGTTTTTTCCTCCAGTACTCAGCTCCCTGCCTCTTTTCCTTTTCTGTCTAGTCTTTTATTCTTTTCTCTTTCATTCTCCTCCAGCTTTTTTCCTTGGTCTCCCCACTGTTGGTTATGGAAGGTTGGTGGGTGCCCGGTCCCTGGGCAGGCAGGGGGCCCGGAGGGGGGCTGCATCTGACACTGCAATCCTGCTCCCCAGCTCAAGAGGCTTTCTAGGAAATAACCCTCTTCTGTGGGCTCCAGGGCAGTGTCAGAGTGAGTACTGTTAGCAGTTGTCTTACAAATATCCTGGCACAGCATCTGATTTGCGCCCGGTGTTCTGGAGCAAATGCCAAGTTCAGAGCTGAGAGCTGACTGTTTGTGTGCTGGTGACATGTAGACACAGAATATGATTATTTTGATGCTGGCAGTTATGAGTCATGCCTTTGTGCATACAGATTCGATCGAAGACCTAAAGATGGAGCACTAGGGTTCTGAATAGAAAACGTGTTTTAAAGCACACGCTGAGTGTACCTATTTTCCCCTTGTTACCTAATGACTAGTGTGGATCATATGGGGCTGTCCTACAATGTCTGACATTGGTACTAAAAAAACCAACAATGCTCAAGACAAGTGGCAGCGTGCTTGACAAAGTGCTTTGTCAAGAGGTGATTTGGCAATACTTCTTCAAGATGACTTTATGGTACTTGCGGCTTTGCTTAATCTACACACCGGGGAAGTGGTCACCAGCCTTAAAATTACTTTGTCAGAATAGAAAACCCCACGCTTAAGCATCCGTCTATTGATTAAAATGTGTGCTTGGTGGAGAAGTGAGAGGGAAATTGGATTTGTGCAGATTTCTGCCTTAACAACCTGGCAGTTTGCTTAAATTGGTAGGTGAAGTTCTGAGGCACTCCTGATGTGTAAGTTTGTCTAATCCTACCTATGTTGGCTGTCTCTGTGGCAGGCCTGGTTTTGATTTCAGCAGTTCATGAAGAATATTGCTGTTTAATGCAATTAGACAGTACAGAATTGGTGAAAGAATATTTTTTTCCCCTGTTGCTTTGTTTCCACATTACAATGTGATTTATGTAATATATGAGCAAAGTTACCCTTCTCAGTCCAAGTTTCCCATAGTTTGTGTATGTCAGATTGTTTTGCAACAGTTGAACAAGCTGGCTGGTGTGAATACAGCAGTCCGATTATATCCAAATGTCTACGGGTTAAGTGCATCTGAGAGACTCTCCAAGGATTTTTTCAAATATTCTTGCATTCTAACAAAAAAAGAATATTAATTTTAATGTGTCTTTGCTCTGTTAATGGAGTGGTGTGTTTTAATACATCTTTGAAGATTGTTTTCTCAAAAGGCAACGAAGTATCTGTGACTTGTCCTTGATCACTTTTTTCACATTTAAGAGTCTTTAACACATGGGCACCCAGCTAACTGCCTTTCTAAGAGCCCTTATGCTAAATAGTTATGTGGATTTTGGACACTTTAGAAAAGATCAAGCTCCTCAAACCTATGACTGAAAGTTGCTGGATGAGGTTGTGGTGGTTTTATGTATCTAGGATTTTTTCTTTGTCTCTGACCTATGCATAGGACTGAAATGGTGCTGTGTATTTGACTTTAGTGAGCTGGACCTAAGTTAAGTAGTGTGAGGATTTTGTAATTTGTGTCTGTGGGAAAAGAAACCATAATCCTTTGAAACAGGTGTTTAAGAGGTATTTTGATTTTTTTTAAATGCTGTCAGATAAGTGTAATAAGCAATACCATTTGGAAAAGGAAATACCATTGTACTATAGTAAAAAATGTTGCCACTGTACCTGCATGTAGTTGAATATGAATTGCCAGCTTGGCAGGAAGAAACAATTTTGAATTGAGCTATTTTGCAACTGAAAACACTTCTGGGCTGGATTCCCCTGGCCAGCTACATCTGGAGCTTTCATTACTCATAAGCAGTTTCCTGCAGTTGTTCCATATTTAATTAAACCAGCTTCTAGATACCTTTAAAGAAGTATGAAGTGTATTGTTAGCAGTGATTTCAGTGGGTGCTTGCAACCATTTTTGTAGCTGTTCAGCACCCTTTTTACAAGCTTTATTCATTCAGCAAAACTCAAGCATCAAAAGCAAGGAAGAATTAAGCTACCCTCTGAGAATGGGTTGATTTTTATGTAAGGGTCTTTATCTTTGATAAATATAAAAGAGCTTTTTTTTGCAAGAATACCATAAGCATGCTGCTTAATCTCAGGCTGTTTTAATGCAGCCTGCTAGCGATGGTGGAAGGGACTTGCTGGTGGGTGTTGTGTGCTGGGAGCCCAAAAGGTAGGAAGAAGGAATGCAAATTCCTGCTTCAGGGTGGCTGGTGATGAGGGCGATGTGACAGCAGAGCATCTGCCATGGTCTTAGTTCACACCCAGCGTTGCACGGAGGCAGTTGTGTGTTGCAGTGATGTGCTTTTGTTACCCAGCTGTGGCTTCTGCCTTGGTATTAGGCATTGAAGGCAATGTCTGTGGGTATGTAATGCTCTGTCATGCCTTAGATTTTCATTGCTGCCTGGTTTACTATAAAGCAAAAATGCCAGTGCATTGCTACTGTGTCAGCTGAGTGAAATACAGTTTTTGCCTGCTGGTGTGGGATCAAAGCATTTCTGTAGTCTAAAATTTTGTGTATTCATTGTAAACAAATGGCGAATTTCTTTCAGCATGCAGCTGTCAACCAAACATAACTATCAATAGCTCAAAATGTTCAAAACTATAAAATGAAAAGAGTCGTGTGTGTGGGAACAGTAATGATTACCTGTTTTAACTCCAGTCAAAAGTTAATCAAGGAAGGACAGTCCTGAAGATCAAGTGCCTCCCCTCTTAATTTTCATTTCTGTGGTGGGAAATGTGATATTTCTTCTTCTCTTCCATATGTGGAGAGTGAGACTGGAGCCACTGCTCCTCCATGGGTTCATCAGCTGAAAGTGCTCAAGCAGCCTGTA